TATCATGAACTCAGGCTTTGAACTCCCCAGACCTCGGCCCCTGGCCCACCCCACCGCCACACCGGCCTCCCAGACCCAATCTACAGGCTGGCCCCTGAGGATCGGTCCTCCCCAACCTCTTCCAAACAACGGAAGAGAAGGGAACGCTTCCAAACTCAGTGTACGAGGCCAGCATTTCTCAGACACGAAAGCCACATAAGGACACTGTACGAAAGCTACGGGCCGGCGTTCCTGACGAACACAGATGCAAAAACCCTCAATACAATACTAGCAGACTGACTCAGCAGCACGTTAAAAGGATCATACACCATGGGCAAGAGGGATCCGTCTCTGGGATGCAAGAATGGCTCCACACCCACAAATCAGTACACGGGATCGATGCCCCACAGGAATACGACGAGAGGTAAGAGTCATGTGATCATCTCAATAGGTGCAGAAAGAGCATGTGACAAAATCCAACATCTTTTCCTGATAAAGACACAATAAATTGAGTATACAAGAAAACCACCTCAGCATAATAAAGGCCCGCGCCAACATCACGCTCAGTGAGAGGTGGAAATCTGCTCCTTTCAGGTCAGGAACGAGACGGGGGCCTCACCACCACTATTCACCACGGTACCGGACGTCCTGGCCACAGCTGTCGGGCAAGGAAAGGAATTAACGGCATGCAAATCACAGAGGAAGAGATTTAAAACATTATCCCTATCTGCAGATGAGCTTATATTTGGAATAAAGTTTACACACAAAAGACTGTTGAAATAAATCAATTTAGTAAAGTGGCAGGATACAAAATCAACATGCAGATATCAATTGCATTTCTGTATACTAAGAACAAAGTATCTGAGAAAGAAATATAAACAACCTCAGGGGCATCTGGGAGGCTCAGTCGGCTAAATGTCTGACTCTAGACCTCAGTTTGGGTCTGTCTCAAGTCACGCATCGGGTTCTGCACGGGGCATGAATCCTGCTTTAAAAAAATTGGGGAAAAAAAACCAATCTTATTTACAATAGTATCAAAAGTAACAAATGCTTCGGAAGAAATTTAGCCAAGGCGGTAGCAGATCGGCAAGACACTGATGAAAGAAACTGAAGCAGACACAAGTCGGTGGAAAGATCTCCCGTGCTAGTCAATGGGAAGAGTTAACGTCGTTATTGTGTCCACACTTCCCAGAGTCATCCCTAGATGCAATGCGATCCTTCTCAACACTCCAGTGGCATTTTTTTTTAATTTTTTTTTCAACGTTTATTTATTTTGGGGACAGAGAGAGAGACAGAGTATGAATGGGGGAGGGGCAGAGAGAGAGGGAGACACAGAATCGGAAACAGGCTCCAGGCTCTGAGCCATCAGCCCAGAGCCCGACGCGGGGCTCGAACTCACGGACCGGGAGATCGTGACCTGGCTGAAGTCGGACGCTCAACCGACTGCGCCACCCAGGCGCCCCTCCAGTGGCATTTTTCATCGAGGTGGAAACGATCCTGAGGTTCATGCAGAATCAGTCTTGGGAAAGAACAAAGTGCAGGCATCACGCTTTACGGCAAAGGTGGGGTTATATGAACCGCGTGGTACTGGCACAAAAGAGACACCTCGCTCAGTGGGCAGAACGGGGAGCCCAGGAGTAACCCCGCACACGTATGGTCACTTAATTTACAACGAAGGAGTCAGAAGTGAACAGTGGGGGGATGACCGTCTCTTCAATAAAGGGTGCGGGGAAAACTGGGTAGTCACTAGCAGAAATCTGAAACGGATTCCCTATCTTACACCATTCACAAAAAATTAATTTGACTTGAACTAAATGTAAGATGTTAAACTATAAAACCACCAGAAGAAAATAGGGAAAAGCCTCCTTGACACGGGTCCTGGCAGTTACTTTTTGGAGAGGACAGCAAACGCACACAACAGAGAAAAACAAACAAGTGAGACCGCGTGGAATTAAAATTCCTCCGCACAGCAGAGGAGACCGTCAACAGAACTTGCACAGAGGATCTGGTAAAGAGGTAACTTCGAAAATGTATAAGGAGTTACTACAACGCAGTAGCAAAAAGAAAAAAGAAAGAAAATGTATCAGGAGTTACTACAACGCAGTAGCAAAAAAAAAATCCTAACATATTGCATAAAAAAAGGAAATAATGCAATATCAAAAAAAAAAAAAAAAAAGAAAGAAAATGTATAAGGAGTTACTACAACGCAGTAGCGAAAAGAAAAAAGAAAGAAAATGTATAAGGAGTTACTACAACGCAGTAGCAAAAAAAAAGTCCTATCGTTTTGCGTAAAAAAAGGAAATCTTGCCATTTGTAGCAACGTGGATGGAGCCTGAGGGAGGGATAAGCCAGAGACAAGAGCTGGGGGTCCTCACTGACGTGTGGAATCTAAAAGAGCTGAACTCACAGAGGAGCGTTTGCGGGGTTGGCCAGGGCCGGGGTGAGGGGACGGGAAAACATTGGTCAAGCGGCACAACCTGTCAGCTTCGGTATGAATGAGTCCCGGGGACCTAGCGTGCGGCACGGCGGCTACAGGGAACAGGACTGTGCTGCACGTGCACCGGGAAGGTGGGGAGGGAGTGACCTTATGTGTTCTCACCACACACAGAAATAGCAATTCTGTGACGTGATGGACATGTTAGCTTACCCGGTAGTGGTCATTTCACAATATGTTTGTGTATCAATAGGTTTGTGTATCACATCATCAAGTATGTTGTATCTCAGCAAAGCTGAAAAGAAAAACTTCCGCCCCCCACCCCCCAAACAAGAACAAAAAGAGTTACAGTATTTCATGGGCGAGTGGAATTGCAATCTTCCAACAGGTGCCGGAAGCACCAGCTAGGTCCGGCCAGGTGGGTGTGTAATAGGTCAATTTATAAGATACCAGAAAGCTTATTGTATGTAAGTTCGGCTTAAACTCACCTTTCATGAATAATTGAGATAGAAGCTTACGTAGTTCCCTATTAGGGTTATCAGAAACTACTAACCGCCCTATCTCGCTTCTGTAACTTGGCCTGCTTGCTAAATAGATAACTTAGGTGGCAAAACGCTCCCCCACCCCTTCCACCAAGATCTGGCCTAGGCAAGACCAACACGTAAAAAGTCACCAACTCGCTGCCCCACGGTATCTTACCAGTCTAACTACGACTGGTCATTTTAAACCCTCTTAGGACAAAGAACTTTAAGTTGATAGGTTCCCGCCAACACTAACGTCTGTGTGTCACAATATGGCTACCATGAAATGCTGTAAATTGCAATTGGTTAACCAAATAATGACCTATTCTGACTTGCTAAAATCCATAGAAGCTCACTGCTGCCTTTGTTCGGGGCCGTTCTCTGCACTCTTCTCCTTAAGATCAGGAGATCAGGTTTGGCCCGGCCGTGAATAAAATCCTGCCTCGCTTCTATTCGGCGTCTGGTGGGTTTTTTCGACAGCACCCTGTTTCAGGGGGAAGACCGAGATGGCAGCAGGGCGGGAGGGCCCTGGCCTCTGGGGCCCAAGGTGACGGAACAGCAGAGAACGGATGGCTTCTCCCAGCTGCCCATCAGCCCACGGAAGGGGCCGGGAGGCCAAGTCCTCACCCTCTGGGGCGACGGCTAACAGCACCGTGGCCTGGGACTGTAAACCACAGCATCGCTTCTCGCCATTCGGGGGCCGGACGTCCGAGATCAGGCGCCCGCGTGGCCAGGTGATCGCTCGGTTCACGGCTTCGTGAGATCGAGCCCTGGGTCGGGCTCTGTGCTGACAACTTCTGTGTCTCCCTCTCTCTCTGCTCTCCCCACCCCCACCCCCGCCCAAATAAATACACATTAAAAGAAAAAACTTCCCTTAAAGAGCCCGCAGGGTGGGTGCTCGTGAAATGGCAGCAGTGCCCTGTTTTTGTAACACAATTATGAAATCCTAGTATTCTGGGGAACTTTTCACTTTCTAGTTCCTGTCTGGAGCCGCTGAGGGGTGACCGCCGAGGGCTGCACCCAGGCCCAGGCCAGCACGCCTCTGTGGCCACGACGACTCTCTTCCAGCTCACCTCCCGAGAAGCAATGTACGCGAACACCCTGGGCGTGAGCGGGGCTCCCCCCCCCCCCCGTTTGTAGAATCATCTCGCTTGTGATTCTGAAAAACTACCAGGTCCAGGGCACGTGTCACTGGCCCTGTCCTCCTGAGTGTGACAGGGCACGCCCACCTCAGCCCCAAGGAGGTGCTGCTTACATGGGTCAGTGAGTTTTGAGGGAGACGTCAAATTCCACAAAACACTTGCTTTTTCCGCCTCGCTGGAGAGCCCCTCTGGCCCCTTATGTGTGGACCTGGCCGGCCGGCGTTCCCTCTCTCCCCCTGGGCGAGTGGGGGCAGGGGCCCGAAGTCAGTCCAGTCAGTACTTGTACAGGTAAACACACGGACCTGTGGAAACTGATGGGGCGGTTTGCGTCAGAACCTGCCCAAGTTTATGTTTCAAATTTCCTTAAACGAGTTCTTGTGTAGGAAACGTCTTCAGGACGGTATAAACCTGTACTTCATAATGCCGAAAGGGTTAAATAACCCTTGAAAAAATCCTTTACAACAATCATCCTGTGTAGCAAGTCCCTGAGTGTCTACACTGAATGGTATGGGCAGGGCATCCTTTGCAAAATTAAAAATTAAAAAAGAAAAATCCCCAAGACCCCCTAAAACCCTGGGGGAGGAAGCTGATGTAAGGCAAAGTTACACTACATACAATTGCGACTCTGGATGGCTCTAATTAGCCTGGTAAAGGTTAATAGCTTGTACCCCAAGGCGTCTTCCGAAAGGTCCCTCTCGCTCCACATCTGCAAGACCTTTTTTCAAAGATCATTCACATGATAGTGTAATAATATTTTCAGATTAATTGTGCAGAGAGAAGGGCCTTGTGTGTGAGCCCGTAATTCTGTGAGGAGGGATATACCTTTTGAAGCAGAGAAAGCTCACGCAGACGATTTCACTCGAGCCTGCGTACGAGGAAGGGGTGTGTGTGTGTGTGTGTGTGTGTGTGTGTGTGTGTGTGTTTTCAAAAATCACCACTTAGGCATCTGCCACGTTACTTGAGTATTTTCCGCACAGCCTGTCTTGGGAGGGGAACATCACACCGGCAGGTAAGATTCTGGAGCTCGGCACGTGCAGCCAAACACGTACGCTGTGACCCGGTCCACATGCGTGTGCCCTTCCCTTAATTCACCTTGGTGGAGGGCGTGCTAATAAGAATTCCCTAAAACGATCAAGGTCTGCAAGTGACTGTTTTAGCTACAGACACCACAGCTGCCTGTGTCCGAGTCATTAGTTCCCTGACTGCGCTGTAATTAGGTCTGAGATCACTCACCCACTGATGTCTGAGTCCCACTCACAGGCGGTCAGCTCGAGCGAGTTCACGTGTCCCCGTCCGCGGGGTCGGGTGTCAGGTGGTGGAGCGAAGCGGCTGTTGCTCTCTGGGGCCGCGTGCAGCAGCCCCACCCAGTTAACAGGAACAGTTCCCGCCGTGGAGCCAGACCAGAGGTGGTTCTCCCGCGTGGTTAGAGGTGAGGAAGCCCCCAGACACAAGAATCGGGCAATTCTGCTGAGTCACCCTTGTGAGTGGAAAAAAACCCACGTCAGCTGGTTAAACAGCCCCTGTGGGCCTCTTCCACACCTGCACAGGGGGGCGCCCTGTCCACGCCTGCACCTGTTGTGCTGCTGGGCGCCTGCCTCCACCGCTGCTGAAAATTCTGGGTGACGGTCCGTGGTTCCCATGGTTCCCATCTGTTCCCTTACAGGAGAAGCAGTGGTGTGAGGAGCAGCACCAAACAGGGAACCAGGAGACGGGCTTCCCCCTGCCCTCTGGGCACAGGCTGCCTGAGAACTGAGTGTGGCGTCTGCAGGGGGAGAGGGAGGCCCCAGAAACCCCTGCGTCCCTGATGAGAGGGCCTGGGGCAAGCTGAGGGCAAAACACAAGCTAACACCCCCCACCCCCACCCCCCAGGTGGGATACGTGTGACATTCCTCAGGCACTCAAGGCTGCCCGAGGACAAAGAAAAGGGAAAAACACATGGCTACCTGATAGAGATCACAATCCTGTAAGACCAGTCTCCATCGGTTTATAAATATCTTAGTAAATTACAAGAAAAGGCACTATTATCAATAGCCTCATCTCCAGAAGCCTACAGACTCAGCTTCCTGGAGCCCCAACATCACCTTCCATAGTGATGTGGGAACAAAGCAAGAAGGAAATGGCAGGTGAAATTAAATGCCCTCATAACCTGCAGCCCATCGACCAGACTTGTGGCAAATACAGAGCAGAACATCTCTCCAGGACGCCCTAGCGTCCTGATGTCAATGCCTCCTGGATGGAAAACAACCCGAACTCCTCAACAGCCTCTGGCATCTCTGAGTCCTGCTTAGCGGGATCACAGTCCCTCTGGGGGCTGTGACTTGACCCTTTTGACTTGACCCCCCAGCTCCAAAGTATAAAACCTGACAGTGTTCACAACCCCAGCTCCGCTCTTCCTGCCCATGGGTCCTGTCCCCTGCTTTAATAAAATCACCTTTTTGCACCAAAGACGTCTTCAACAATTCTTTCTTGGCCATCGGCTCTGGACCCCGTGAACTCCCATCACCCTAAAACTTCACCAGTCCCCAACCTCTGAAAGGGCGGGCCTACGCCAGCCAACTCCATCTTGTTCTGTGTCCTTCACCTTGACCACACCTCCTCCCCTTGAGTAACCCCCCCCTCACCTGCCTAACAGGACTCGACCCTTCGGCCCCAATAAAACCTTTGTCCTTTTGAAACTCGCTCTCTTTCCCTGGTTATCTCACCGCTGGGTCGGTGCAGGTAGGGGATTGAGCTCGAGCTAGCTCGAATAAAGGCTCTTTGCTTTTGCATCGGACTCTGCTCCCCAGTGGTCTTTGGGGATCACGAATTCTGGGCAAAACACCTCATCCACCTTTTTACATAAAGTCAGACAGCCCACCTGCTCTGCTTCTCCCATGACTTCGGCTCAAAGTAGGCAATGTGCTCGAGCGCGTGTTTGTGTGGGGCCTCTGCACCCCTTCAATAGAACAGAACTGCAGGGGTGCCTCGCCGTCCGCCATCCGTTCCCAGCACCTGCAGGATGGGGCAAATCATCTGGAGCATCTGGGGGACGAGGAGGGGGAGACAGGAGGGTCATGACAACCGGGGAGGCTCCGGATGCCTATGGGCACGACCCCAGGGCCACTGGCTTCCTCTCAGCCGCTGCAGCCACCGTCCAGCCCCCCTTCCCTTGGGAGCCCCAACCCAAGTCAGCACTGGGACCCAGAACTCAGCGACAGGGAGCTCTCAGAGGACACATTGTTTCATTTCATCCTGCAGCCCTGGAGGGGGTCAACAGAGTTCCTCTCCAACCAGCCCACCCAGGCTGAGCACGAGGGAGGCACTGCCGGCCCAAGACGCAGCCGGGGCAGAAGGTCACAGGCGGGGGGCCAGAGGCTGGGACACACGTGCTCCTGACCTCTTCTGTGGAGGGCCAGGCCGGGAGCTCCTGTCTGGGGCTCCATCTTGCACACGTCTGGGGGTTGGGCTGCAGCAGGCTGGCCTGGTGGTGAGAAACACAGCTTTTCAGGAGCTCCAGCCAACTCCCCAGCACCGGTTCCAAGGGGCTGATGAAGGGGGGCCAGGGCTGACCCTTCTCATTTCCAGCCTTCCTCCCAAGTTTGCCCACACACCATACGGTTACCTGCAGGCACCCCCGTTCCGGCCTTCTGGGGACCTTCTGGAAGGGAATTCCAAAAAGGTGCATCTGGTCCGAGGTTGTACTCTGGATAACCTCTGCAGATCCTGAACCGTCAAAGCTGTTCGGTTCAGGGATGTTTGTGTGCTGTACAATAGCCGGAGAGAATTCAGCGTCTGGGCCACGTTCCTGAAGAGCAGAGTCCGAGCTGTGAGAGAGGGGAGGCCCGCACGGGCGCTGGGGGGGGGGGGGGTGGGGGAGCAGGGCCAGGGGCCTGAGGAGCCTGCGGACACCTGTGAGCTCCAGGAAGTCACCGCTCTCTTCACCCCCGGTGCCCAGACCCAGGTCAGGCGGTCGAGGGCTCCTCAGCAGAGGGCAGGGGCTCCTGGCACGATGTGGGGGGCATAGGCTTCCTCCAGTGCACGCACACACCCTGGGCTTGGCGGCCTTGCCAACACGTGAGGTCCTGCTCTTTGCTGGTGTGGAAACAGCCGGGACACACCGCAGGAGGACCGGCAGGGGCTGCTGACTCAGAGCCTGCTGTCCCAGGGCCGTCAGCCGGCTC